GAAGAGAGGAATTCACAACACTTTCCATGCATCATTATTACACATTCATATAGCAAATGATGACCGTCGTTTTTCTGGTAAGCAAATCCATCAAGTATCGACGTCCCTGGTTTCTGACATGAAAGAATGGGAGGTTGACAGAATACTATCACATACAGGGACAGGACGGGAAGCACAGTTTGAATTAAAGTGGAAATCAGGTGATGTGACTTGGGAGCCATGGCATATTATCAAGAAATTAAAGGCCTTACAGGAATATTGTGAATTAATGGGGATCACCAACACGAGGCAGCTTGGGGCAGTAGTGGGGAATAATTACGAGAACGACACGCAAGCTATACAAGTTTCAAGCATACATATGTGTCAAGATGAATATTTAAAAGGTAAATTGAAGGCAAAAGAAAGTCAGACCACTCCATCCCATTTATTTCCCAAATTCTTACCACTCTCAGACAATATGTTACGTTTTGGGATCAATTTGCAAGAGCCAATCTTCGAAGCATGCAAGATTCAAGACGAATATTTAAAAGGTAAATTGAAGGCAAAAGAAAGTCAGACCACTCCATCCCATTTATTTTCCAATTTCTTACCACTCTCAGACAATATGTTACATTTTGGGATCAATTTGCAAGAGCCAATCTTCGAAGCATGCAAGATTTATGCTGACAGGTTAATTTTCCACGTTCTGGGTCAAGGTCCATATCCTGGACCACCGCTGCCAGCATATTTAGAGTTTTCACTCTTTATAGATGATCGTTTCCTCGCACCCATACCCGCTAATTGGAACGGAACAGCTTACGAGGACGTATTTCGCCGTTTCGAGCAAGAACGGAATACAACTTTTGTTAGAGTGGAGGACCCAAGTATGCTCCTTCGAAATTTTTATTTATTAACGATGCTGATACAAAAATAAATTATACAGTACGCTTCATTGGACCACAGCGGGACAGCAATCCCCCGGCTCGTGCTACAGAAGATTCGAGCGGAAGGATTTTCCGAGATGGGCCAGAGGTCTTAGGACCCCTCCGACCAGTTCCTGCTCATATAAACGCATCGAAGGATTTCGATAGGGGTTCAGATGGGGAAACGAGGGAAGGAAACGCATCAGTGAGGGAGAATAGGCGAAGGAGGCGATCCCGTCGTGCAATCAATTATAGGGGCCAGAATTTTGACAGAAAGAAGAATAATCGCCAGCAGCATAAGATAAACTGTGGTCATATTCCTATGGCTGTGGTTGGGTCTCGCATTCCGCCCCGCCACCCCAACATTTTTAAGCACCCATCTCTCGCTGATGATGCCTTAATGTCATTCATAGAAGGCGCCATGGATTCCATCAAATTAAGGGAAATTGTTATACAGAATGGGGGGGTAGGAATACAGAAGGAGGAAAGCGATGATTTCTAGTGAGGAGTAGGTTTCTCTCCGGGAGACCGGAGGGCGGGTGTAACGGAAGGTTTGATTCACTAGAAATCAGAAAGTTCGGGTTTCTCGGTCAAGGATTGCTAATGCAATCCTTTCATTACTCATATATTTATCGAATATTCAAGAATGCGATGGTAGCTACTAGAATCTTAAAGGGATTCTATTGTGACTCATTAGTAGCTACAATTTAGTATTTAAAGCTTGTATATTGAACCAAAGTAGGAGGGACTCTCAATTAAGAGACTTTACAATGGTCTGTTTATTGCTCATCACTACTCAAATTCGCGAATCTCGCTTTCGAGGATGAACCGTCAGAATATTATTATATTCAGACGTGTGAACCTTATACGCTTCCAGCTCACGTTGACGCTGTCTTGTAAGATCCGTGTTTTTCACATACCACGAAGCATCGCCTTTGACGCAGCTTGCCACATAGAGGTCAATGATACACTGGTCCGCGTTGGTAATGACTGCCGCATCGTACGCCATCCGATGACCAATGGCTTGTATGAGAGGCAAGCATTCCATAAAAATAAAACGATCATAATCCGGAGATCTGTGATCACCTATAGTGCCCAATAACGTTTTTAAATCTTGGAAGAGGTCTTTTCATGGCATGCAAGAAGACTACCTGTATCCGCTGGTGGATGAACATTATAGCGTCCCAGCAGGAGTTCCGAGGCCAATCCTTTCCAAAAAAGCTCGTAAATTGATATATATACGGTGCACCATGGGCGCCAGCTTAAAACAATGGAGTTTGAATTGTAAAGTCTGTTTTTCTATATATTTTGGATATTTACTTGTATTCTACTTGAGATCCAGACCATTAGCAACTCAGAGGAGACGATCCAAGATGTAATAATCCGAAACCTAGGCCGTTGACATCCATCTCTCTCTCTCTCTTTTTTTTTTCGTTAATCCAGTGATCATCCTAATTGTAAAGAACCTTTATACCACCAAAAGAGAGGGTACATGAGATTCATGAGTTCTTCGACCTCGAATACGGGGAAGCCGGAGGTTGCCGGTGAAGCGAGAATGGGTCTACAGTTGTCAGGTTGCCCAACGAAGGCCGCAAGTTCATATATAGTCCCTATTATTTTAAGCAGAATGTGTATAGCAATAGAAAGCTTCTGTCACTGTGGTAATATTAGTTTGCGAAGAGGTGGTGACAATCCTATCTAAGTAATTCACCTCCTTGGGGTCATTCCAACTCATTTTTATAGCCTAAAAAATCGATGAAACTTATTTAATATGTGAAACAAAGATTATCCTAACACTCAGCGCTCAGCGGTAAAGCATATAGCTACTTCTACCTCATTTACAATATCTTCACAGAGGCGGTTTCCCATGACATCACTTGCCTTGCTAACCGAATGAAGCTGATGGAGTTGATTTCTGCAAAAGGCATCGGAGCTGAATGGCGTGAGACTTCGCTAGGGTTTTGCCCTCCAAACTATCGTCCGAACGATTTGTACCCACTAGAAATCGGTCTATAAACTATTGTAGATACTTAATGCTACCATTATCAAGCCCTGTCACCTCCCGGATGGCTCCTGGTGAGTATTTCATACCCACTGATCAAAACCCAATATCTGTTGTCTTAAGCTGACGCCTGTGGTGCACCGTATATATAGAAACAAAGTACAGAGACTTAATAATTGACAGTCCAAGGGTATCGCCTTCAGAAATGGCGGTACCTCTCATATCTGCCTGAGAGAACAAAAGGGCCAATGAGTTGCAACTTAAATGAAATACCACAGCAAAAAATCGCTTATAAACATAACAGAAAACTGATTATACTCAAATAATCCTTGAACACCGCATCTATCTCCAAGACCCAGGTTGGCAGCCTGTCTATGCTGCATCATAACAACTTTAAAAACTGTTGCAATTGCATGGTGGACATGAAAATCGATGGATTGATCAAGGAATAGCGGAACTACTTTTTCTTGAAGAGATTTCATAACAAAATATTGAGCCAAAGCCTTCAAAATCGGTGTCTTCTGAGTTCGGAAGGACATTATTGGGATCTTCCTGCCAGCTCTATTTGTCACTATTCGCCTCATGCTGTATTGTGCAGCGATATATGAGGATATTTGGAGCGCAGGTACTCCCAGCATCCCTATAGCAACTCGAGAAATGAGAGTAAAAAATGCCGACCTTTCATCATTCGGTTTCTCAAGGGTTCCTAGAACCGATTGCCTAGGCAAAAGGACGTTATGAAAATAGGTGAGGCTATGATTAACAGCCTTTGAACCTCCTCATTGCTTCGCGAAAGTCTTGCAGTTCAACAGCTTCTTGCTCTTGATGATCTCTTTGATGGCTGCTAGCAGTTGTTTCTTGATGTTCACTATCAAGAAGTCCTTCATGTCTCCAATCTCTGCTACGAGGTAGTATGCTTCTTCACTGAATGTGATGTGGAAGTAAACCTCTTGACCATGGTACTTGATCTTTGTTAATAGGGAGCTCTCAGCTAATGTCATCAATTCTAGCTCTTCTTTATTGAGCTTGGCTCTCAGCTAATGCCACTGATTCTAGTTCTTCTTTTTGAGCTTATCATCATCTTCCAAGTCTGGGAGTGGGGGCCAACATTTTGTGAACTTGGTACAGATGCTGCTGCATTTCAGTTGGATGTCTGTGGAGAGTGTGTCCCACCACTTCCTTGAGGTCTTTCCAGGCACAAGGAATGATTTGAAGACTTCATTGTACTTCTTTTTGTCCCAGCCATTCACAACTGCTCTAGTGACTAATTTCTGCATCCACATTGTTGCATCTTCATCCTGTCTCTTTCCATCACCCCAAAAAATGCAGCTGAGGCTGTCAACTTTGGTTTTGTGAAAGACTGTGAGCTGGTCATATTCTGGTTCTAGCTGTTGTTGTCATCTCAATTGCTGTAGTGCAACAATGATGTCTAGGGAGGATAATTATATTCCTTTATCAACTATATAATTATTTGTATATGGTATTTGCAGATTTGGTAGTCTAAAAATCTATTAATCTAACCCAGTTGTTAACTATTTTTTAAAGAAAAATTTAAATCCTAGAAGATATAATGTAGTTCACCTAGAAGGTTGACAGATTTTATAAAAAGAAATTTCAAAATTTTTGGGATGTTATCATACTCTATATGATGTTTTATAAGTATTCTTTAACATCATATGTGTCCTGTGAAAAAAATTTAGAGTCATTGCTTTTGATATTGCCTAGTAATTCTCACAAACCTCTTACATGCAGCTCCATGGGATCAGTGCTTGTGACCTGGAAAAGTGGACACCTTGTTGAACTCATGTTCTACCAGAACCTAGTGTCTAATATTTTATAACATAAAACAAGATATGCATCTGAAGAATGATATCCTGAGAAATTTAGAAGTAGAGTAAAAGGCAGAGTTTTTTATTAAAAATTTTCCTGACATGGATGCAAAACCAGTCAGCTAAGTAATATAAATGCATAAGTAAGTGACGGATGGTCATAATCATGGAATGCATTACCATGACCATTGGTCACAGCTGACCACATGCATACAACTCATGACCAAATATATATGACCAGATACATATGGCTGTGATCATAAAAAGTGTCCCAGGCGGGAATTGAACTCACAACCTAATAACAACAACATTGGAAGTATTAAACCACTACACCACTGAGACATTATTATTCGTTCAGCTTCAGCATTTCATGTTGTACTATCATCTAGGAATAATTGTATTTTCCATGATATCTATTATCTGAATAACTTACTATATATTCATATAAAGTAGCCTATTATATTATGTAATTATATCAGTCAATAGGAATCTGAATATAGCAGTTTATAAAGAGCTATAGTGCTACTAGATGAATCAATTGTATCTACAAATATGAGCCTTTGTGGTGTAATGGTTACATGCTCACAATTTGATACTGTTGTTATTAGGTTGTGAGTTCAATTCCTGCTTGGTACACTTTTTTATGGTCACAGCTATATGTATCTGGTCATATACATTTGGTCATGAGGGGTATGCATGTGGTCAGCTGTGACCGATGGTCATGGTAATGCATTCCATGATTATGACCATCTGTCATGGCTAATGCATTGAAGTCACTGAGAAAGGTGGCAAAACAGGTATGAGCCCCTATCAATAATGCACAAAAATTTAATTGTTCAATCATGAATGCTTCTGGTCAATTGCATAGCTTTATTTTAGGGAAGAAATGAATACATTTTCAAGGATAACATGCATTTCTCTAATTGTCACTGCAAAACTTGGGTGTCTACCTTCCCAGGTTGACCACCTTCTGGGTGAGCTACGTTACCAAAAACAGGCACAATTCATTCCTTTAATCCATGCAAAGAAAACATATCATCTGAGGTTATATTATTTAAGAGAAAATATTATACCAACTCAGTATCAATGAAATATATCTAATTATTCTTAATATTTATACCAATATTAATTATTTGGCCTCTTTTAAATAAACATAAGCTTCTGAAACAGCTGTCTCTCCATAAAATTAGATTCTAATCAGGACAATAATGTTTATTTCTAACATTGGTCCTTCGCTCAAAGATCACAGATATCTGAAACATAACATTAAATTTGAAATGTAATGAACAATTTGAAAAATGCTGCTACAGTCAATAGAGTAGGGTTAACTGATAATTGAGGTTCTTTTTCTTTGGCTTTTGGGTGTACTGCTAGTTATAAATCACCTCTTAGGGGTATTGCAGGGTCATGGTGCACCATTTTCACTCATCTATGCATATCGTGCAGTTTGGTCTGCCGTCATTGCCCACTGGAGGAGAGCTATCAAAATGCAAAGGAAATGTATGAGGTGATGTGGGTAAATACAGGAAGATGATGGATATTGATGATGATGTATAAATGGGACAGTGTGACTCTATATGATGCGCTCTACTGAGCTTCCGCCTCCAGCAGCTCCATTGTACAACCCTGGGTTAAGATGAACAGATTGAAGATGAGGGTAGCGGCTCCCGGATGGACATAAATATATCCATATCCGAACTTCCATATAATTAAGGACTGCCGATGTAAAGCCTTCTCTATCATTAGATGATCATTCGTAGTACCATGCGGACTCTAAAGTTCGGAGTTCCACAAAAGGAGTTTCTGTCTCGGCTCGTAGAAGTAATACTAATGGGCATTTTCAACTTGGGTTCTCTTAGTTTGACATCCCTTTCTCCCGAGATTTCCATGGAAGCCGAGATAAGCGGCCATAGCTAATAGTTCAGCTAGCTGATGACGAAGTTGTAGCATCAGTATGCAGTAATGAAGAAGCTCGAATAAGTTCCTGCTGTCAAATGGGCACACTCATTCAGATTTAAATATGGACTGTATCTCCGCTTCCACGCAGAAACAGGAACATCGACAACACAGTCCGGCAAATTCGGAGCACGCTAATTTGTAGTATTAGACAGGTTCTGCCAGAGCGACAGCGCCACACTGTGGCTCAATTTTGTTATGCTATATATGGCTAACATACTTATGATATGGCATTACTGATACATACCGAGTTGATCCTCTCGCCGATAGTCCAGCTATATAGTTACAATGATTCAACCAAGGTCTCTATCGGATAAGTATTGCCATTGCACATAAGAATTAAGGAAAATATGACATCACTCGCTGATTGATCCATATCAAATGTCAATGGGACTATATTTTCGAACGAAATAGGTTCCATGCAGCGATTCAGAGGTACCGACAGACATATTTGTCTCGCCTTTCCTCTGGAGTTTCCAATAATCATTATAAACAGCAACATCAGGAGTGGCATGGCAATCTGGTTATTGACTATCCTAGTATTCTAGACCGTATGGGCCACGTTATGGCTGTGCTTTTCAGCGGATCGAATTATAACAGATCTCAGGGGAAAAGTATCGCACTAATGGTTATCTTGAATCACAAGGACTTAAGTTTCTTGAGCCATGTTTCTGCGACTGCACATGGTGAGAAAGATTGGGTATTTTTGTGCATTTCTAAGGCATGCATGGCTTTCTCTGCGCAGCTGCCTAGTTATCTCAGTAGACCTTTCAGTGCTACAGCTGTTTCGTCTATTTAACACCGACGACTTGAGCCAAGTAACGCTAGTAATCTTCTAATAGATCTGAGTGTTAAAACACTAGTAGTTGCGTCCGGATCTCAATTGGGAGGAATACTGTTATCACATAAGAATTAAGGAATGAAAAAATTAATTATCATCATTCGCTCCCTGATCCATGATATCACATGTAGATGAGACTGTATTTTCGAACGCAAAAGGTTTCCTACAGCGAATTAGAGGTATCGACAGCCATATTTGTCTCACCATTGAGTTTCTCTCTTTCCCACCTTTCCTCTGGAATTCTAATAATCATTATAAATAGTAACAGGAAGACCGGAATGGCAATCTGGGTATTGACCACCCTACTAGTAGTATTCTAGAACCGCATGGGCCACCTTATGGCTATGCCTTGCAGCGAATCGAACTATAACAGATCCCAGGAGAAAAGGATCGCGCTAATGGTTATCTTGGATCGCAAGGGGTTACGTTTTTTGAGCCGTTTTTTCGTGACTCCACATGGTGGGAAAGATTGGGTATTTTTGTGAGTCTTGAAGAAAACCTTCTTAAGTTGAAGGTACTATCTCAGCTTGGATATTGCAAAGTAGGAACAATGCTGTAAGTGACTAACATCGCTCTAATGATATAGAATGAGCCGTGTTCTGATATTCACATTTCCCTTGACCATCCATCCCTGATTGGCAACAAACTGTCATATCCGATTTAGCTTTGTCTGCTAGCCTAAATCGCAGCTGCCTAGTTATCTCAGGGGACTTTTCAATGCTCCAACTGTTCGATCCATCAACACTGACGAATTGAGCCAAGTAACCCCGGTATTCTTCTGTCAGATCAGGACTTGGACACACTGGTATTTGTGTCCTAATCTCAACTGGAGATCTATTATTATCCCCCCGCTCCACCATAGTAACAAATCTTTATAATAGCCAGAACCTTCTATAGCCAGGATCAAATTTCTCTCCTTTCTTCCCTATGTCATTACTTATCTTCTGTACTCTCAACTGTAGCTATCACTGAGGCTGAGGCTGAGGCAATCTTGCTGGTGGCAGCCAGGAACGCTGCCAGCAATCTATCCAGTAAGTGTTCAGGTTATCTTGTTTCCTCGCTCTAAACCGTTGTCATCAGTCGCAGGGACAATAGTTCTTTTATATGACCATTTACTTCTTTTGGATTATGAGGTAAAGATCAGTCTGCGAATTATAGGACTGCGTCTGAAACGTTTGTTCAGCGTCGGTTAGTTTGGACCACAGAATGCACACGATGGAAGGTTTCCTTCCTTATAAATTGGTATGTTACACCCATATGCCTGATAGCTCTCGCATACCGTAAGTTCCTCACATGCTTCAAGCCGCATATATTCACACAGATCGTTAGAATTGATTACCATCTCTTCAGAGACTTACACTGTGACCGAGCGTCTATTCGATTACTAAGTCGAAACCATTAAACTTAACTTTGCTTTTAGACGTAAGAAAACAAGTAGAACCGCCTCATTTATGGTGCTCAAGTTTTATAGCTGCAAAGTAATGTTTACTCTTCTTAGCCTGATGTCCGTGACTAGTCTTGGAGTCGTCAATTGTAGGAAGACCCCATAACATATGGCCAGGCTCGTTACTGAATGACTTTAGTTTTCGTTTTTCATCGTATTTACGCGATATGGGGGTATAACAGACGGATCCTTCAACTCTTAATATTTCCATACATAGCTGTTTATGTCGTCTGCGTGTCGTTATCAGTCTATAGTAAGTCTCTTTCTCATCTCACATGCTTTCTTTTGACAGAAGTTTTCCAATAAGCAATCATCCATGATTTGATTCGTGCGTCTATTACAAGTATACAGTCATTTAAAGCGAAAATATAATCTCCCGATTTTCAGCACATGCAAACTTCTTGGAGCAGTTCATGGAATGCTCTTTCAATGTGAGACCTATTGCCCTGGTTGTGGCATGGTGTCTACTGGTCAGTCTTTTTGCGCATAAAAGTACCAACTTCTAAAGCCATGTTTCGGCATAAGGTGTTTTTAGATATATATTTACTAGTATTGGTAGCGTGTAATGCCTTGGACCGACCAAGGGAGACAAACACACTTCTTGTCAGACAACTTTACCGGGATGGCATCATCTATTTGATTGTTTGTGCTTTAATGTTTTTACAACGATTCAATTCTAATTTACTAATTCAGATAAGCATAAGTAAACATCTCTTATGTTGCGTGTATGAAAACGGAATCTAAGAATTATTTTTAAGGCCTTCGTATTTTCAATATCATTGTGTTGGGAAGACTTAACGTAAGACTTTACCCTGACATTTATCTGCACATGCTTAATCGACATATAGCTCGCGTATGCAGCCCTATCGGTCGTGTATGTCTTTCCCTAGCGCTTGGTACACTGTTCACAAGGCTCACACGATATGACAGGGCGAACTGGAGCTTAATTACAGCTACTGTTAACCGCATGCTCCTTATCGGCACAGATGCTGTTATCAAATCCGGAAGACAGAATCACGGTCATGAACTTCAACCTATTGGCCAAGTTGCCACCCCCTTTGTACAAGGACCCAGAGTGTCAGGACGAACTGATTCTGTTGG